ATCTATCTATCTATCTATCTATCTATCTATCTATCTATCTATCTATCTTTTTGGAGGATGATGAATAATGAGAAAAGCCTGCCCCACCCCCCTAGAAGTATCATTTACAATATTTAAACCTAGACACAATTTCAATTGTATTGCTTACTTTTATGATTGCTATGTTTGCTAAATTCTGATAGGACTGTGGTTTAGTAGAAATGCTATGCTAAGGTAACAGACCTTGAAGAGTTGTTTCTCACCCACTTGGTAAATATTTTGTGGAAACCACACTAGTGTACTATGCTTAAAGGAGCAGGAGATTGATAAAAATAAAAATATGATGAATTTGTGATATCTAAGACTTGGCAAAAATGCCAGCTGATTGCCTATTGCTATAAATATTATTGTTTTTATTATTTAAGACATTGTAACTATGACTAAAAGAGGATACTTATTTCCCTCATTATGGACGAATGTCCTTCAAGTTTCAATTGACATGCCTGCTTTTGGGGATTAATGCAGGGGGTCCTGGGTTCTGTTAGGATCAGTGGAAGTTGGATCTTTGGCCATCCTGGGTCATGTACACCAGTGTGGCTTTGATAAAGTCAATACTGTGAGCAATACAGTGAGAACTGGTTCTAACATTTGACACTTACCACCATCCTTAGGCAAAGGACCTGAGACCCTGTATGCAGGGCAGAAGCTCAATGACAATGAGTGGCACACTGTCCGGGTAGTGCGGAGAGGAAAAAGCCTTAAGCTAACAGTGGATGATGATGTGGCTGAGGGTAAGTACAACTATGGCAGGCTTTGACTCTACTTTACTGTCTTCTCTGACATTCCTCTTCTGGAACTTCTTATTTTGTTTAATAGAAGTCATACTGCCTGCTCCCTGTGGACAAAAACAGGCAAGGCTAAGCATTGGACCTTCCTCTAAATTTTACAGTCTTTCTTCTTCAACTTACAGTACACAGCTAGCTCCCTGTTGGAATATAATCCTCAGTAAGTTCTTTCTTTGATGGAGCTTATGCCCAGAGAGCAGGGGTAGAGCTGTATAGATCTTTCTATAACTAATAATTAAAAACCCCTGATCAGTCACCCTCCATGTTTTTATTCTCTCTACCAGCAAATACATCACTCTTTTGTATACGAAAATGGAGAGTCCAAAAATATAGAATGTCATGGGGAATACAATAAATATTAGAAGAGTATGGTATAGGAGGGGCTGGACATGCTTGGCTTAACAAACTGGCCATTTATTTAACTTCTATTCATTAAGTACCTATTGTATATCAAGCATTGTTTTGGGAGGAACAGGACATGTAGTGATGGTCAAATAGACAAATTCTCTGCAGAGTGGGATCTGCATTTAGGAAGGCAATGTATAAATGAATAAATCAATATATATGTAAAAGGGTTTTGAGAGTCCCACACAAAGTGTATGTTCTTCCTAATAGCATACTATACGTTAGCAATGTGCTCGAATAGTGGAAGATAAAAGGCACACAAAAGTTACCTATTTTCTATTATTAAACCAATTGATTAGATTGGAAAATAGTATTTGAAAATGTTAGGAATATGTCTTGAGATTCTGGTGTAGGTAGTGGGATTATAATTGTCAATCAGATGAAAAAGCAATCAACTGTGGTTGAAATATTAAGACAAGCAAGGGAAGGTATCTTCCCTATCAGAATTTGATACATAATTGTAATTAGTCAGGTGAAGATCCTGAGTCTGTAGCCTAGCATCCAAGCAGACAGTATGCTGAATTCACATCCATATAAGAAAATAAACTTGAGGCAGCACAGGGCAATTACATGGAACTCTGCTGGCATCTGAGCTGGCCTCTGATCTAGCCTTGACATTAACTCCCTGCAGGATGTTTGGGAGGCCACTTGCTATTCCTGACCCTTGTCTAATACAGTGTGCAGCCACAGCTGTCGCCCCCAGTGCCTTCTGTGAAGAGCAAGACAGTTGGACAGTCAGAAGCCTAGAGTTTAATACAATCAGCTCCAGTAAATGGTTTTATGCCTGCGGGATAGATATACAAAATCTCATTTTCTTCATTTCCCTATCTTTCAACTTGAACGTCTGTTATTTTTAAGGCCCTTTCCATCATAAATGTTCTGTCATAGTGAGTCCTAAAACTTAAATTGAGTTTATGAGTCTGATCTTCATTACTTCTGGAATTTAAGTGTAATTTTAGTGGAGTACAATGTGTGTGTTTGTGTGTGCGTATGTTTGTGTGTGTGTGTGTGTGTGTGTGTGTGTGTGTAGAAGGGGGAAGAGAGAGTGAGAGGGAGAGAGACAGAGTGAGAGAGAGACAGAGAGACAGAGTGATATCAATCTCCACACAGGAAAAACACACAACACATATCCATTCAGCATTAGGTGCTGAAATAGCTGTTTTACGAGTATCAATTCATTTAATCTTCAATAATTCAGTATTCTTTCAAAATAAATGTTCCTATTGTCATTATACTGAAGAGGAATGGGAAGTAGAGCTGTGTAATTAAGCTTTGAATCCACATCTGTGTGATTCCAATGAAGGAAGCAGTTTGCTGCACTTTGCAATCCATCAAAAGAAAATGATTTCTCTTCCAGTACAGGCAAAATATAATGAAGTGGATAAGGGCAAGGAGGGGAATACATCTCAGGATGTCAACCGTGGTATTTTTGTCTCTTCCCTCCTAGAAAAGAAGGCACACAGAGCCATACCAATTATCCCATGCACTCCAATTCCACAAAGACCCAAATCAGTCTTTGGAAATAGTTTCTGACCTACGGACCTTCAGGGTAACTTAATTGTATAAAAGGAATGTAGAAAAAGAGATGAAAAAATATTATGTTGTTTAGAAGCCACTCTCAATCTGCATTAATTGTTCAAGCTGTTCCCATGAGCTATGGGGTCAAACAGGGGCCTGCAAATGCTATGGTGGTGAGTAGCACTAATTTCTTTGGATTTGGCTGGTTAAATCCCCAGAAGGATGCAATTTACAGCATGTTGTGAATAGCGGCCGCTAGGTGGCACTCTCACCCCAATCTTGCTCAGCAGTGAGTTCCTTTCATTTTCATGGAAAACAACAAAGAACACAAAGATTTGCAGAACTAAGAGTACAATAATCCCTTGCCTTGATCATTGTTCTTTTATAGAGCCTTTGGAATAAAGGCAATTATGTGCTGTGCTTTCTGTTAGTACCAACAATTAGAACACAGGGCTAAACCGTGGAATGTCCAAGCCATCCAGTAATTTCATTTGAAATTAATAAATCCTTTCACTTTCTGCCATACATCCTACCTCAGTGCAGGTGGAAGGCAGCAACTACAAAGAAGAAAGAAATTTGGGAGAGGAAGAGGGTTAGTCTCTTTGTCTTGTATTTTTGTTGTTGTTGATGATTTTTTTTCTTTTTTTTAAAACTGAAAGCACGTTTGGGAATTTAATTTTAGTTTATAGAATTCATAAAACCAGGTAGTGATTCTAAAGTATTCGTAGACCTCAAGTTATAAATGGTATCTTGTTGGCTTACTTAGTAATTCCTTTCATGCCGTTTAAGCTCCTCCAGTGTGCCAAATTTCTAACTAGTCTACACAAGTGACAGAGAGAATAGGCCAGGCCCACATGTTACCAAAGGGCAAGAAAGAATTAGTTTTCAACCTGGTGTTTTTCATTTATTATCATATAATTATATTCTTGGAAAAGTATTAAGTTCAGTTGACAGTTAATAAGGCTTGATTGATTGGGCTGGATTTCTATTATTAAAAACAAATTAAAAGAATACCTGACTTGGTTTACGCTCTCAGAATAGCGACCTAATGTGCTAATACCACACACTTGGCCCAGAACTTCTTGCTGGTATAAAAACTCACCCCACTTTTCACTATTTTGCCCAATACTTTTAAAAGCTCTATAATTTGTCAATGACCCCAACAAAAACTTGCTATACGTGTTAATAAAAGTTGATAAAGCGAGCATAGGAAATGTTTGGTCAAATGAAGCTCTTCATTACAAGATTCATTAGGCACCTTTGATAAGCTAATGTACATTGTTGTTCACCAATAATTAGATATGCATCAATTGCCTCAGATCTTTTAAAGAATAAGGTATTTTATCATATGGCATGCTTTTAAAATGTGCTGAGCACCTGGGGGAAAATGTTTAGATGAAGTGAGGCTGGAGAACTGTGACATAAATGTGAAAAATCCCCAGCTGAGCATTTATATGCCTTCCTTTTCTCAAAATTCTCCTGTGTTTGGAAATCTTAGGGAATCTAATGCTTTCTCCTGGCATTTCCCAACATTATAATTACTAACATAATTTTTATCATTATCATTATTTTTGGCTGAGCTTGGACTGTTGGCCAGGAATCACACATACATACAAAATCGGTCCTACAAATTCTGACCTTCTAGTTGACATGTCAAGTATGAGCCCACTGCATGTCACCCCACTGTACCACTGATACTTGATGAACTCAGCCTTTGCTGTATGCCATTGAACATCCAGAAAGCACTAGAATGGTCCATGTACAAGATGACATTGCTTGTAAAGTAAATGAGAAATGATTAAAACAGTCAAAGAAAGCAAAACAGTGACTGCAGAAAAATTTGAATTAGCCAATAATTAAGGTCCCTGACACTTTTGAAAATGTTTTATGTGCTGATGCCTTTAATTCTGACAACTTCAGACGCAATTCACAAGTAGGAAATGGAGATACAAAAATATTAAGGACCATACCCAAGGTAACCCAGTGACAGGCCTATTATGTGCTATGGCCTCTTGGGAAATTACAGATTAGGCAAAAGTTCTCCTAGATTCACATCCATCACATGTCATAATTGGAGTGCATAGCACACACTGGATATCGTATGTAGATATGTAGTCCTCATTTCACTTCATTTTCTTTCACAAGGTCAGTTTTCTTTCCTCTGGAATTTGAGAGTAGCTGCTCTGAGGTATACATACACTTATCAATAAGTGAGAGGAAGTTTGGTCTAAACGTAAAAGCCGGAGGATGTTATTTCATACAGAGTTCTCAGTTACTAATATGGATTAGATGACACATGTATTTTTTTTGTAATAGTTGGCTAGTTTTGTCGAAATATCAAAAGTCAAGCAGTGGTGTTTCATGCTTTTATCAAATGAGGTACTATAGGATTTTGAGAGGAGGTAGTTAATTTGATTTTAATCTGTGCTACAGATGAATGAGTTCTGTTAGTGAATAACTGAGCCAATTACCTTGTAATTCAAGCCCTTATTGTTGAATCCACTAGTGTCCTAAACTGATGATAGAACATCCCTCTAAGTCATCCTAGACTTTGTCACTCTGGGCTAAGCTCTTGAATTTCCTTTTTTATTTTTTGCCCTACTTAACCAATGTCTTGCTCTGCCTCTTTTTCATCTTAACCAGTGCCTCATATTCTTTTATTCTGCTTTATAAAACTGTTTTTTCCGGTAGGCAAAATTTACTCAGTATACAACTCTGAAGATGGGCTTATCTGAAATTTTGTAGAAAATTTCAACTGAATTGAAAATCACTTCTCTGATTCTTTTGGCATTCCTTGGATCACTTGGGGTTGCCATTGCCTTTTTTGTACTTTGCTCTAAGGTTTTTGTGTAGGTAGGGATGTGAATTAGGGGAAGGAATAGCATCACCACCCTGCAGTTCTTCTGACTCCTTACAAGTTGGCTATGGTCCCCTTCCCCATAACTTTCTAATTGGGTCCCAGCACTTGTAATGAAGAGATGCAGCAAACTGCAGTTGGGTGCTTATGTCAATCATGTGATTGTTTTAAAGCACATGAATTTTAGGTTGTGTTCACTTCACAACTCAGTACAATTGTCAATATTAAGTAATTTCATGTCCTTATTACTTTTTCTATGTATTCAGTTGTTAACAAATTTATTTTACATTTTGATTTTTGCTCTAACTACAATTTATGTATTTAAGAACATTATTATTTTATTTTTGCTTATATTAAAAGAATAACTTGACACTAGTTGTCAAAACACCACCAAGAAGCTCGTCAAATGTAAGCCCGATTTCTGTGCTTCTGTTCAACTCTTTGAATCACTTCTGAGATTGCTTCTGAGGAGGTAGAATCTATATTTAAAATACAAGGAGATGGATAAGTCTTTCAGATGTGGTTTTATCTCTTGGATCAGGTTAAGTTCTCCAAGAAAATTCATGCCCACTCTTCCCCTTTGACACTCAAATTCTAGACCAGTAAAGAGAGAAGGAAAAGTAAGATGTATAGACAGCAAGTGTCATTTATTAGTGAGAAATCTGATAATAAAACAATGGCTTAACTTGATTGAACCCTGGGATTTGAGACAATCATGTGAGCCCAGTTTAAAGTTGGGCTGGTCAACTCCACAAGAGCCACACTGGGTTCTTTAGCTGCAAAGCCATGAATGAGTGTAGTAGTCTGACTGTTTCCCAAGCTGCTTTCCTAAGAAATCATGACCACTTGTTAACAGGTAAAATTAATAGATGTTTTACAGAAGAAAAAAACAAACAAACAAAGTGTTCAGAAGTAGCAAGTAATGAGATATTGTAGCAAGCAATTCTTAGTAATGAATGTCTAACACTCACCAATTTTATCTCTATAAGAGCCAAAGAGGAAAATAATTTCTTATGATTTGTGTTCAGATTGTTTCTCCTTTCTTCCTTCTCTCTCTCTTCCTCCTCCCCCCCCATCTCTCTTGGTTGTTTTAGTTTTATTTGAGACAACATTTCCTTATGAAGCCCTAACTGTCCTGAAATTCATTCTGTAGATAATAAGGCTGGCCTCAGACTCACAGATACCACCTGTCTCTGCTTCCCGAGTTGTTTCTTGAATGGAGAAAGTGAATGGCATTGCTTTTCAGCTTGTGTTGTCAGTAAGCTCACTGTTTCTGTGAGATCGTATTGACACCAGCTGCCTAGGATCATGAGTCAGGCAAGTAACTTGGGTTCAGCTAGGACCTCACTTGGTGACTGAGATCAGATCAGGTGTGTGCTATAAAAGAGCAGAAGAGAACTCAGAAACTTGGAAACATGTTCCTCCTATAAGGCAGATCATGGTAGCTGTGAGAAAGCAGAGTAACTTTTCCCTTTCCTGCCTCATTTCTGATTTTATAGGTACAATGGTGGGTGACCACACCCGCTTGGAGTTCCACAATATTGAAACCGGTATCATGACTGAGAAGCGTTACATCTCTGTGGTCCCCTCCAGTTTCATTGGCCACCTACAGAGCCTCATGTTCAATGGCTTGCTGTACATTGATTTGTGCAAAAATGGCGACATCGACTACTGTGAACTGAAGGCTCGCTTTGGACTGAGAAACATCATTGCTGACCCTGTCACTTTTAAAACCAAAAGCAGCTACCTGACCCTTGCCACCCTACAGGCCTACACCTCCATGCACCTCTTCTTCCAGTTCAAGACCACTTCAGCTGATGGCTTCATTCTCTTCAATAGTGGTGATGGCAATGATTTTATTGCAGTTGAGCTGGTCAAGGGGTAAGTAGGATAAACCACAGAATGAATGGTGGATATCTTTACTGAAACATTTTGTAAAATATGGTGGTGAAGAAAACAGTTCACTTTACTGCATGCCCCAGCTCTTGCTAATACCCTCCTTGCTAACAAAGATTTACAAAATGACTAGGGCTGGAAAGGACATGAAATCCTGAGATTACTTAAGAAAATTCTACTAGATTGATTTTATAAAGATCTTAACTGTGACATGCAGTCCTTTGAAACTATTGTTGGGTAAGCTCATTTATGCAAACCATAGCTCTGTTGTATGTTGCACACATTTGGGGTATTATTAATTATAGTTAGCAAATGCATAATAAGAAATGAAATCTACTTATTTTACAATACTACTATTAGCATTATAATTATTATTTTGAGAGGAGAGCATGGACATAGTCCCTTATGACCCAAAATTATAAAATCAAGTTTCTTGAATTTCAGGAAATTGCAGAGGCCAACATTATAGTTTTTTAAATCCCTTTTTGGACCCTCTATTATGTTACCATATATTGGAAAGTAGTCACATAAGAATAAAGCCAGAACTAAGGATGTTCTAGCTGGTTTGCTTGTCTAGCACACACAAAGTCCTGGGTTCAATCCCAGCACTGCATACACTGAGTGTGATAGCACACATCTGTAAATCTAGCACTGGCATGGTAGAGACATGAGGATCAGTAGGTGAGGGCCAGTCTCTGCAGGACAGCAAATTTGAGGTCAACCTGGGCTACTTAAGACTTTGTTTCAAGCAAGCAAGCAAGCAAGCAAGCAAGCAAGCAAGCAAACAATATTCATATCGATATCCATTGAATTCTATTATTGTCCTCTAGTATTTTGTAGAGTCCTAACTGTACCATTTCTTAGATCTAGATATTACTATGGAGCATTCAGTGAGTAGACTTTGGGCAGGATGTGAGTACATGACCATGATTCCAACACTAGAGAGTCTGTGAAAGGAATATTATGAGTTGTAGGCCAACTTGTACTATATTGTAAGGTCTTGACTTAAAGAAAATGAAAGAAGACCTTATGAATCTGTGAATATGGAATTGAAATGATTTATAATCCAGTAATTACTGGTAATTATAAGTGTATTTAATTGGTATGCTATGCCAGGTAAGCATGGGTAATTTGAAGCCCCTTGTTTTTTATATATGTGTGATTACCACTGAACTACTTTATGGACCCTGAAGTGATTGTGTGCTTTTTTTGGTCTCTTGTAGGTACATACACTATGTGTTTGACCTTGGCAATGGTCCCAATGTGATTAAAGGCAACAGTGACCGCCCCTTGAATGACAACCAGTGGCACAATGTTGTCATCACCCGGGACAACAGTAATACCCACAGCCTGAAGGTGGACACCAAGGTAGTCACTCAGGTCATCAATGGTGCCAAAAATCTGGATTTGAAAGGTAATCCTTATATGGAGTTTGTATTTTATAGCCCATCTCTTAACAGAAAGGTTGCTTCCATGAGAAAGCTCCAGGTTAGGAATTCCAGCCGTATCTTGTGTATGACACATTTTCCATTTGAAAACTATTGAATTATAACATAAAGCCATTTATCCAGTTTATATTCAGCCCACACCTCAAAACTGCTTCCTGATCTGTGATGATATTAGGAATGTCTTTTGGGGATCCAAATGATGAGGTGATTGCGGGTCCAAAACATGAAGTGATAAGTCAAGGCTTTGTCAAATTGTGGGCAGGATCTTACTAGAGAGAGAAAAGATTCAGCTAAGTCCTTTCTGCCTGGGTGACATTATCTCGGCCATATTCAATACTGTGTAATAATATGTATACCAAAAGGACATAGAAGTTGTTACTCTCATTATGCATTGTTAGATGTTTGATGGGAGGTCTATAAAACACTCAGCACATTATTTTTAACAAACACATAAAAACTACTCAATAAATGGTTGTTTTGTTGAAACTGTTGTTAATCTTTACTTCATTTAATTAGGTAGAATCTACTTTGTACATATGATATGGTGGTTCAAACTTTGTGAGGTGTTGGAAACAGAATGAATGACCTATAAGAAATATTTAGGATTTTTATTTTAATAATTTAGAAACTCTAGTAGTGACTCATATTTTAGCTGACTCTCTACCCCATACCATGGTTGTATTATCATCATTTAAGAAACAGTTTAAGGTGTTTAAACATTAGTGTGTTAGTGGATATGGTTGCCACATTATTTCTCTACTTGGGCTATTTTACCATGTTCCTTCCTTTCTAGGTGACCTCTATATGGCTGGCTTAGCCCAGGGCATGTATAGCAACCTTCCAAAGCTTGTGGCCTCCCGGGATGGATTTCAAGGCTGCCTGGCCTCTGTGGACTTGAACGGGCGCCTGCCTGATCTCATCAACGATGCTCTCCACAGGAGTGGACAGATCGAGCGAGGCTGTGAAGGTAGAACCTCTCTTCTTTCCAAGGCTCAGCCTTGTCACAGCACCTAGCCCTCTTGCTGCTCTGCCAGTGCCCCTTTCCTCAGTTTACCCGTCCTCTGTCTATCATTCACCATCCTACAGCATATCCTCATCGGTGTCCTCTTGTCATTGGTTGAGTATGCAGGACATGTGCCATGGGTTTTAAGAAGGCATGCTGGCAGATGTCCTTTCAGGATCGCATACTTGGTGGTGAAGTACCTTCCCTGTCATGGCCATCAGACTTCTCCCAATTTGTGTCTTTGTTTTTAGAGTGGCTGAAAGAGCACTAGAGACTTCTATTTCTATTTTAATGTCCTATGTAAAGGACAATGGAAAGAGTCCAAATTGATGTCGCCAATTATTTGATTATTTGATGCAAATCCATTGGGAGACAGAGAATTGATGTCACTCTGTCATGATGATGGAAGGGAACTAGTATTTATTGAGTACTTGCTGAATCAGGCTCTGATTGTCAACCTAAAGGTACTGCCAAGTGATATCCTCAGTTCCCACATTAGGAAGACCTGGATTAAGCTCCAGCTGACATTTGGTAATTTACTTAACCATTCAGATCTATCTTTTCTTTCTCTGCCAAATGGGAGAATAATAGGCCCTTTCAAAAGTATTATGAAAAAAAAATCTGAAAGATACAAAATGCCTGATACATAGTAGGTACTGGATAAACGTGGGATTATTGTTCCTGGATATTATCTCATGAGAGACACATAGTAGTACTGCATGTTTACCCACGCTGCACAACCACCATGCTCAGCCTGTTTCTGTAGATGGTGAAAAGTAATGTCTTTCTAGAGCTGTTGGTAACTGTAGGAACAGCTTAGATTTAGCCAGTAGAGGGCAGCACTGTACACATTCTGAATTCATTCCTGCCCTCACTTGGCCAGAGAAATAACTGCAGGTCATCTACAGGCAAAGGTGATGATGCCTAGTCACCAAGATCTACTACATCTTCGTTCCTCTGGCTGAGCCTAATGGTCCTTTGTGCAACGCACTGTGTTTCCTTGCATCCATCTTTCAGTTTCCATGTCAAAACTTTTCACTTGTTTCATGAACATTGCTTTTAAAGCAGCTTCCGTTTGAGTTATCTCTATCCCTTTAAAGCAGTTTTGCAAAGACTAACTTGTGCTACAAAAGATGTTTGCCTTGCCTGAGTCAGTTGCCTGGTATTAGTGTCTCTATAATCTGATTCCAGGATTCCTTTAACAATTAAAACAATGGTTTTAATTCTGATATTCTGACAGCCATTAAACATGGTGTGTGTGTGTGTGTGTGTGTGTGTGTGTGTGTGTGTGTCTATCTATGTGTCTGTATGTCTGTCTGTCTCTCTGTGTGTGTATGATGGGCAAGAGGTTAAGAATCAAAAGGCATTTGAGGTAGCCATTTTGTGTTTTCCTGAATATGCTGCACAATTTCATTCAACTTGACCATTGTTTTTTTGGACTTACTGGTCTACTCATAGTTCTTCAGATGTTGAAAGACAATGGAGGGAAAAATGACGTATTTGGCATTCAACTGAGAATCTTACTTTAGAAGGCTTTGAGGTGACAGGGTTGAGCTTAACTCAGAATGAACCGTATCAAGTTAAATTACAATGTGAAATTACATATTAAAAACAGAAAGCAGGGCTAAGCGAGATGACTAAGGAGTTAAAAGCACTCCTGCTCTTCCACGGGATACAAATTCAGTTCCTAGCATCCATATTATATGACCTGTAACACTACATCCAGTGGTCCAATACTTTCTTGTTACACTGCATCCATGTTCCATGTTTGATATCTCTCTCTCTCTCTCTCTCTCTCTCTCTCTCTCTCTCTCTCTGTCTTTCTCTCTCTCACATGCACACACATGCATGCACACACAGACACACACACATACTTTCTCACACACACAACTGAAAATAAAATCTTTTAAGAAAGCACAAGGTACTGTATAATAGGAAATTAGTTTTAATGTGTCTTATGCTATTTCAGATTGAGCACTTAAGAAGAATCTATTTAGCCCCTTAAGCTATATTGACCAATAGGACTATAGGAGAAGGGATGGGGAGATGACTTGGCAGGCAAAGCAAATGGTCATGGAGCATAAGCACCAGAATTCAGATCTCCAGCATCCACATAACTGTGTAGGACATCCTCAATCCCAGACCACAGGAGAAAGAGATGGGATGTCTAGAACAAGCTGACTTGGTATGTGAGCTGAATAGTAGGCTCTCAGTCCAAGTGAAAGACTCTGCCTCAGCAGGTAAGGCACCAGGTCATTGAAGGAAATGACTGATATAAACTTCTGGCCTCTATATTTATGTGCTTGCATACACAGCACCTGTACACATACTCATACCATATACATGCAAGAAAGAAAAAAGAGACATGTAGCACACGTCACACATGTAATTTAAAATATCCTGATAGTCATTTTAAAATATCCTGATATTTTATTAATTTAATATTAATATTAATTTAAAATATTAATTTAAAATATCCTGATACACATTTTAAAATGTGTAGCATAACAGAAAATTAGTTTTCATTATATATCTTATCTTAGTTAACCAAATATATCCAAAATATTAGCATTACAGTGTGTGCCATAAAATGACTCATGGGTATTTTATATCCTTTTGATTGTGTTGAACCTTCAAAAGCTTGTGGACTTTACCTTTGCAGCAGCGACTAAGTTCAGGCCACACACAATTGAAGCTCGCTTGCCACACGTGTCTGGCTGCTGTATTAAAAACACAGTTCTACAGAATGTGAAACTTGGAGTTATAATGAAACAAAGCTACAATACTGGAGTAAAAAGGAGGTTTAAACTAACTTTTATAAAATGTAGAGACAGAAGGGAGAAAAGAACCCCACCCAGGAGAGCTTCAAGGGAAACAGTGAGAGCTCTGGCAGAAGGAAATTACCCATCGCACTGGGACAAATGTTCCCAGCTCTCCCTGAAGCTCTCCATCAGCTTGGGTGATTCACCACATGCATTATGGTGGACTCCAGCCTTTCTCTAAGTACTCTGATTGTTCAAAGCCGGATACTGGAACTTGATGGCTCTCCCATCCATCTATGGCAAAGCCCGAGGGCCTAATCACATGCACTCTATTGCCATGGAGATAATTATGATAGTTGCCCACCGAGCATTAAGACTTCCCTACTTGGTGGGATGAAGTGGAGACTGAGTGCCCAGGGAGGGAGGGAGGTCCTTGTTTATTGTACACAAATGACTTAGATAATTAGCTTAAGTGGCGAGGAAAAATGGCCAAAAAGTAGGTTAAGGCATAAATTACTATCATTGGAAGTTTGCAGCATTGTGAATAAGGCCTCAGAGAAGATCCTGAGCACCATTTTAGGGTTCTGTAGAAAAGACACTGTATAGGATAGTAGAGAAGAAAAACAAGGGACCTCGAACCTTGTGGAATCTACAAAGGATTCTATTCTCATGAGTCTCTTGCACATCGCACGTGACTCCTAAGAATATCTTATGGAATAAGGCACATGGGATGCACAGGAAAGAGACCATGTAACTTGGTATTATTTCTTCATAGAGAATAGTAAACAAGCTGGAGATAAGACGTCATTACCTAAACCATGATCTGATTCTACTTAAAATGGCAAATATGTTATTTTTTATATATATTTAAGTTTATCAGTCTAAGATATATTATACTTTCTTGCCAACATCAGTGGCATTGATATTTTAAGATCCCTAAGGAGTAAATGCATTATTTTTTCCTTTACCTGACTTTCCAAGAACATATGTAAAAAATTATAAGAGATAGAAATTATTTTAAAATGCGTGAATTTGGCATTCTTTGGTTTTCAGATGATTCATTTACTTATCTGGTAACTAAGAATGTTCTTGAAGTAGGTTTTGAATTTATGTCTCTGATTTAGAAATTAAGTCTGATTTCCAGTCAAATTTTAGCTGTCAAGGGTCAGTTTGGCCTCTAATTTGGGCCATTATTATTTTTTAAAATAAGGCCTTACTTCAAACAAGGCTGATAAATACCTGTTGAGATCACCTTAGCTGTTGAGGCTGAGGCATGCTGAACAGAAGTTCTATTGCACAGTTGTGGAGGGTAAACATCTGAGAGAAAACACTACTTGCTTCATTGTGGAAATAGCATGAATCAATTAAAAAAAATAAAAAGGACATTCATTTTGCCTTTTTGCCCACAAACATTTGCTTATATTCCTACAAATTAAATAAATTAGGCTCTTTGGTGTCCCCAGTGGGTCATCTGGGTAGAAATGCATGACTCTGGTGCCATATTCTTTGGTGTTCTTTTCAAGGGTGTAAGGGGATTGGGGTGGCCTGGTGACTCTCCCGTGCTCAACTCCTTAATGTTCCAAAGTATTTTTGTGGGCTTTGAATGTGCACATGTGTCTTTCAGTCTAGCCACATGCTGCCCTTATCTCTAGACTGAACGCCTTGGGGTTGGCTGTGTACGTGTGGGAAGGCTCTCCCTGCCCATCGCTTGTGCTTTGTCAAGTTCACTGTTTCCCTGCCCCAGTGCTGCTGACTTGGCTTCAAAGAGGCCTGCTCTGCCCTGGTCTGTGCATCCTTGTGTCTGTGCTGTCTCTGGTGACCTTGTAGAGCATTTCAAGTGTCTGTCTGAGTGATGTCGGCTATGCAGACTGCATTTTTATTTCTGTAATGTTACCCAGTTAACTCTACTCTAACTAACCTTTGGTTATTGTTTTCGCTTTTTCTGTTCTTTTGCTAACAAAGTTGCGTTGACCAAAGCTGACCTGCAAGGTAGAGAAGGCTCTTGTACCACTTTGGACTGAAAGATAACCTGTGTGACCCTTGGTATTGTTACATTAGAGGGTTTCTAGCTGTCACACTTCTTAGACAGCAGCCATTGTTGGGGAGGGGGCTGAAGCCAGTGTTCTTCCAAAAGGGTGACAGAAAACCAAAAAGTACACATGAAATACTATTGTACAAAAGATATGTTATGAGGATAAAAAC